AATTTGTCTTTAATGATGTTCTTATTTCAATCAATGCTCTCAATACAGCTCTAGAATCATTCTCTAATGCCGTAAGCTAGGCAACTCAATTGTAAAAACGAAATAATCTGCAAATCGCTGGCTTCCTAGCACGGGAAGTTCTCTTTTCTCTTCCTGGTCACTACTTTGCTTTTGAAAAACTAACTATATGGGAGATGCTTAAACTCTAGCATGAGCTTGTATTTGCTCAACTCTTAAGAGATCCGGATTAAAATCAGAAGCCTCTAGGTTAATACTGTTGAGGAGGAAAGAACTCTTTCATCATTGATTTCTTTTACTATTGGTAATCACCTCAAAATTATCAGGCATGAGAATACCAAGGCTAGTCTTTTGCACAGCCTGTTGTATATGGTAATCTAGCCCCTTCCTCATTAAGAACTGAGACACCTGACACAGTCAGTGGCTTTGCTCTGCAAAGGAGGGTCTCTTCGGATTGGAGGCCAAAGCGAAGGCAGATGAGTAGAAAGCAAAATTTCAATTGATTTGGTGGTTGAACAGGCTGCCCGAGATGTCCATTTACCATGGCCAGTATTGTTTGCTTTTATGATAGACTCTGTTTCTGTTTTGGTGCAAAAACTGCCTGAACTGAAGTAGATGGCTATTTCTTATTAGCCTATTTCATTGTTTTCCTTTAAATAGGAGGGCAGGGTTCCACTTCAGTATGCAGTTACCCCTACTTTCCATCATACTAGAGCCTGAGCTAGGCTAGTGTGGCATTGCAAGTCTAGACTTGCTGTTAGATGATAGAAAGGATGCAAAGCTCAAAATTTTACATAAGAAGAGCAATTCTTCCCTCAGGGAAAAGCAAGAAAGAGTTCAATAAAGCTAATTGCTGTGTGAAAAAGACACTTGCTTTTTGCTTCTCCCAGAGCTGGCTTCTCTAGAGATTTGAACCTAAAAGAAAATCAACTGAATTCCCTGATGAATCACTGCAGAACACAAAACAGCTATATTAAATCTATACCTGCTCCTTTCCTTAATAAACAAAGGTCTTCCTTGAGCAAAAAGCAGGGAGTGGGGAATGAAGAAGAAAAAAAAAGGTAGAATGGGATGGTAGAAAGGAAGGAAAGTAAAATCTACTAGTATTAAGAATCAGAGTTCCTTAGAGGTGGTTTGTCTTTAAACTTCATGCTCTGATACAGTTGTTTTCAGCAATGGAAAGACAGCTTGTATTTTCTTGGCTGCAGAACCTCTAAATGCATTTAGGAGGTATGCATTTTGTTTTGGCTGGTTGTTTGTAGGCAAGCACTGCTGAGTGAAGGTGTCATCATGGTAAATAGAAACACCAGTTACCTGTGCTACAAAAGGGAAGAGGCGGGACTGAAGGTTTGGCTACAAGGAAACAAGATGAAGGCATTAAAAAAAAAAAGCATATAGAGTCCATTTCAGATTGTAAGTGCACGTCTGAGGCAGAGCTCCTGGGCATGCTGTAGTTCAGTGTAGAGTGATCTTGGTGTGCAAAATTCTGCTCAGATGAAAGTTGAAATAGAATTGAATCATAGAATCATTAAGGTTGGAAAAGACCTCTAAGATCATTGAGTCCAACCATCAACCCAACACCACCATGCCCACTAAACCATGTCCCGAAGTGCCGCATCTACACGTCTTTTCATATACTTCCAGGGATGGGGACTCAACCACTTCCCTGGGCAGCCTCTTCCAATGTTTAACCACTCTTTCAGGAAAGACATTTTTCCTCACGTCCAATCTAAACCTCCCCTGGCGCAACTTGAGGCCATTTCCTCTCATCCTATCGCTTGTTACTTGGGAGAAGAGACTGACACCCACCTCGCTACAACCTCCTTTCAGGTAGTTGTAGAGAGCGATGAGGTCTCCCCTCAGCCTCCTTTTCTCCAGGCTAAACAACCCCAGTTCCCTCAGCCGCTCCTCAGAAGACTTGTGCTCCAGACCCCTCACCAGCTTTGTTGCCCTTCTCTGGACACGCTCCAGCACCTC